CTTTGCTTTCAGCTATAAAAACCCTTTTTTACTCACATGCTAACGTTCCCTTTGCCTTCTTAGTTATCCTTAATTAAAACTGGCTCAGCAATTCTTTTCTTCTGTATCAAAACTTGCTTTCCTTTCTATTCCTATTCAGATTCTACATCCCAAAATCTTTCTGTCGTGCACACACCTCTGTGAGAGCTCCCTGTCACACCCCAATCCATCCCAGCAGGGAATGTCGTGGACGGGGTGACAGCCAAACCTGTGCTGCTGTCACCTCTGCGAGGGCACTGCCAGGGGCTGGGGGGGGACAGGGGATGAACTTCTTTGCTTGTGCCTGGGGGGACATTTGTGTCCCAAACTGCTACCTGGGCTGTGTGCTGCGGGTCCCTGGCAGCTCAGGTGACACTGTGCTTGTCCCCAGACATCGACGAGTGCACCATCACCAACGGCGGCTGTGACACTCACTGCTCCAACTCCGAGGGCAGCTACGAGTGCAGCTGCAGCGAGGGCTACGCCCTGATGCCGGACAAGAGGTCCTGTGCAGGTCGGTGGCCACCGTGGCTCCTGCAGGGGTTGCCCCAGGGGGTCTCTGTGTCCCCCCCCAGGGCACCAAGGCTCTCGTTTTTTAATCCCATCCAAAGGAAGGGTTTTTCTGGAGGGATGGTTTTTTTTGCTCTGCCAGCTGCTCGGGATTTGGGGTTTGCTCCTGTCCCCTCCACCGCTGGCTGGGCTCCCTTTCACGGTTTCCTCTTGCAGATATTGATGAGTGTGAGGACAACCCCGACATCTGTGACGGGGGGCAGTGCACCAACATCCCCGGGGAGTATCGCTGCCTCTGCTTCGACGGCTTCATGGCATCCCTGGACATGAAGACGTGCATTGGTGAGGCCCTGGCCGTGCCCTGTGCCCTGGCCGTGTCCCCAGAGCCACCCCTGGCTCCTGCGGGTGTCCCATGGTCGGTTCTGTGCTGCAGATGTGAACGAGTGCGACCTCAACCCCAACATCTGCCTGCACGGCGAGTGTGAGAACACCAAGGGCTCCTTCATCTGCCACTGCCAGCTGGGCTACTTCGTCAAGAAAGGGACCACGGGCTGCACAGGTGGGGGTACAGCACACCTGGGGTGTACAGGTGGGGGTACAGCACACCTGGGGTGCACAGGTGGGGGCACAGCACACCTGGGGTGTACAGGTGGGGGTACAGCACACCTGGGGTGTGCAGGTGGGGGTACAGCACACCTGGGGTGCACAGGTGAGAACACACCTGGAGCCAGTGAGCAGGAACAGGAAACTCCTCCCAGAGGTGCCCTGGAGAGACCCCCCCGTGCCCAGGGGCTGTGTGGGGGTTGCTGTGGGGTGTGCCCTGTGCTGGGCAGGTACAGAGGGCCAGGAACTCACCTGTTCCCAGGTGAGGCCAGGAGCCTGCCCTTCCTCCTGCACCTTTGCCAGGGCTGAGCTCCTCAGCTCCAGGGTCCAAACCCTGGGAGCTCCGGGAGCTGTCGGTGCCCAAATCCTGGAGTGGCATCGTGCCAGGATCGTGCCAGGATCGTGCCAGGCTCAGCCCAGCCGTGCTGGGAGTGCTGAGCTGTGCCAGGATCGTGCCAGGCTCAGCCCAGCCGTGCTGGAAGAGCTGAGCTGTGCCAAGATCGTGCCAGGATCGTGCCAGGCTCAGCCCAGCCGTGCTGGGAGAGCTGAGCTGTGCCAGGATCGTGCCAGGATCGTGCCAGGCTCAGCCCAGCCGTGCTGGGAGTGCTGAGCTGTGCCAAGATCGTGCCAGGATCGTGCCAGGCTCAGCCCAGCCGTGCTGGGNGATCGTGCCAGGATCGTGCCAGGCTCAGCCCAGCCGTGCTGGGAGAGCTGAGCTGTGCCAGCCCTGCTGTCCTTGCTCTGCAGACATCGATGAGTGCGAGATCGGGGCTCACAACTGTGACATGCACGCGTCCTGCATCAACGTCCCCGGCAGCTTCAAGTGCAAATGTCGCTCGGGCTGGCTCGGGGATGGGCTCAAGTGCAACGGTGAGTGCTCAGCCAGGGAGGGCGAGCCCTGGTTCTGCTTCAGCCCGGGGAAAAGGAGGCTCAGGAAGGACCTTGTGGCTCTGCACAACTCCCTGACAGGAGGGGACAGCCGGGGGGGTCGGGCTCTGCCTCCAGGGGACAAGAGGGAACAGATTCATATTGCAGCAGGGGAGGGTCAGGGTGGATTTTGGGGAAATCTTCATGGAAATGTCCAGCCCTGGATCAGTCACCATCCCTGGAGGGGTTTAAAGCCATGCAGATGTGGCACTTGGGGACATGGTCAGTGGCTTGGCAGCGTCCTGGTCATGGCCATAGAGGCTCCCAGGGATGTATTGGAGCTTCCAAGTGTCTGGACAGTCTCCTGGGCCATTTGTGTGCTCCTGTAGCTGCTCAGGCTCAGGGAAAAGGCACAAAAAGGTGTCCAAGGCCAGGCTGGACAGGACTTGGAGCAAGCTGGGCTAATGGAAGGTGTCCCTGGGGGTGGAACCTTCAGGTCCTTCCCGCCCCAATCCCCTCTGTGGTTCCATGAAAAGCGAGCCCAGCCCATCCAGGAGCCCAAGGTCATTCCAGACTAGCCAGGCCAGGCTCTGACAGGCTCTTGTCCATGCCCAGACCTGGATGAGTGTGCAACTGAGGAGCACAAGTGCAACCTGAACGCCAACTGTGTGAACACGCCGGGCTCGTATCGCTGCGCCTGCCGCGACGGCTTCAACGGCGACGGCTTCTCCTGCTCGGGTGAGCCT